GAACTAGGATGAAATAGTAACAAACTACTGTTGTGTAGTTTTAATGTTAGAACTAGGATGAAATAGTAACAAACTACTGTTGTTGTTGGATTTACTAAGGTGTAGTTTTAATGTTAGAACTACGATTAAATAGTAACAAACTACTGTTGTGTAGTTTTAATGTTAGAACTAGGATTAAATAGTAACAAACTACTGTTGTTAGATTTACTAAGGTGTAGTTTTAATGTTAGAACTAGGATTAAATAGTAACAAACTACTGTTGTGTAGTTTTAATGTTAGAACTACGAGGTTAAGCACTATAAAAGTCAACAGTATATTTCTAACGACACGGATTATTTTACAGTGTGGTGAAACTATGTCAGGAGGGGACATCTGCGTCACAGCTGACAGGTTAGGCCCAGACTGCTGGTGGCACCCGGCTTGTTTCGTATGTTGGGACTGCAGGGAATTGTTGGTCGACCTGATCTATTTCACCCAGGACCGAACACTCTACTGCGGTCGGCATCACGCCGAAACCTTGAGACCACGATGTGCGGCGTGTGACGAGGTAAGATGTGTAATTGTCACTCGGGCGCTGGACTGGGCGTGGCCCAGAGATTTGCGTATTCTGACTGTGAATCCGAGGGCTCTTTGCCGTAGAAATCCGCACTTTAGGGTCGTGACTGTAATATAAGTGTGACAGTCAAATCCAACCATTCAATGAGACAGAAGGAGTAGCCCAGGAATTAGCGATGGAGGCATTTGACTATCTGTCATCCATCTAGCCTATCGCTTCACAGTTAGGGATGGCTATGCTGTAGGTGCTTAACCAGGGGGAGTGGGGGTGAAGGGACACGTGCCACTCCTCTATGAGTAGTTTTTTTAGTAACATATTTTCTCGTCTGGTTTGCTCGCCACTTCTTGTTTACACCCCCTCACTTTTAACAAAGTTAGGCGCACATGGGCTTAGACGTTGATAGTCCTTGGGTAGTTTGACGTGATAATTGTAAATAAACATTTATTTAACGTGTGTAACCAACGTGTGAAGTTATTTGTAACGAGCGCTTATTTTCCATTCTAAGATGTCGTGGGTTCGAATCCTGTCACCGAACATGCTCGCCATTTCAGCTGTGGGGGCGTTATAATGTGAAAATCAATCCCACTATTCGTTGGTAAAAGGGTAGCCCAAGAGTTGGCGCCGAGTGCTGTTGACTAGCTGCCTTTCCTCTAGTTTGTCGCTTCTAAATTAGGTACGGCTAGCGCAGATAACCCTCGAGTAAACAAACATCGGGTGTTCGCTATCTTTCCTACTCTGTGATAGTTTTTGATAAACAAAAGGTGTTGCTGGATTTACAGGTTCTTCCCACTACATATCAAAATTCTGTTGATGATACACATACAAAGTCACTACTCATGGTCATTCTGTTATGTATAAGTGATATTTATTTGTTTTTCAGATAAACGAAAATAAACATGGTGTCTCTGGAACCATAGGTGATTTGTAGCTTTTCTACATTTCCGATATGACTTATTATGGTGCTGTCAAAACATGAGAAGGTAGGGTTAATCCAAACTTGTTTCCAATTACAAGGACAGCATGTGAAACACATTGTTACGACAGCGGAAGTCACGTGACGCTGGGAGCATGCGTGGTGAATTTCTCGAATAATCGGGGAACTCCGCGAATGTTTGAGATGCTTCTTTGTTAGTATATAAGCCTGGCAGAGAAAAGCCAGGAAGCTAAGCGAGCAGTAGTTACGGTGAGTTTAGGGCAATTCACGATTTTGTTTCGAGCTAGTGTGTGTTTTGCACTCGTAGAGAGCAAAATTATCGAGATTGTGAATCGCTGTAATTTATAACGTGTATTATAAAAGTTGTTAAGTTTAAAGTGACGAGAAACGTACTGACTGTGGAATTAAATTAACCGAGAAGAATCCTGTAAACATGAGGACAGAGAAGACCGGTTTACACATGTATAATACAGAACGTTAAATTAACAGAGAAGAACCCTGTAAACAAGAGAACAGAGAAGACCGGTTTACACATGTATAATACAGAACGTTAAATTAATCTAGAAGAATCCTGTAAACAAGAGAACAGAGAAGACCGGTTTACACATGTATAATACAGAACGTTAAATTAACCTAGAAGAACCCTGTAAACAAGAGGACAGAGAAGACCAGTTTACACGTTTATAATACAGGACATTAAATTAATCTAGAAGAACCCTGTAAACAAGAGAACAGAGAAGACCGGTTTACACATGTATAATACAGAACGTTAAATTAACCTAGAAGAACCCTGTAAACAAGAGGACAGAGAAGACCGGTTTACACATGTATAATACAGAACGTTACATTAATCTAGAAGAATCCTGTAAACAAGAGGACAGAGAAGACCGGTTTACACGTTTATAATACAAGATGTTAAATTAACCTAGAAGAACCCTGTAAACAAGAGGACAGAGGAGACTGGTTTACACGTTTATAATACAGAACGTTACATTAATCTAGAAGAATCCTGTAAACAAGAGAACAGAGAAGACCGGTTTACACGTTTATAATACAGAACGTTAAATTAATGTAGAAGAATCCTGTAAACAAGAGAACAGAGAAGACCGGTTTACACGTTTATAATACAGAACGTTAAATTAATGTAGAAGAATCCTGTAAACAAGAGAACAGAGAAGACCGGTTTACACATGTATAATACAGAACGTTAAATTAACCTAGAAGAATCCTGTAAACAAGAGAACAGAGAAGACCGGTTTACACATGTATAATACAGAACGTTAAATTAATGTAGAAGAACATAGAACTTTACGAGCAAGGCAGTATTTTTAAATATTTGAAATAGAAAAACTTGTATAAGTAATGATTATGGACCATGCTTACATGGCGTATGTAAGGTCGTTACAAGGTTTACATGGTGTTTTGTAAGGTCGTTACAAGGTTTACATGGTGTTTTGTAAGGTCTTTACAAGGTTTACATGGTGTATGTAAGGTCGTTACAAGATTTACATGGTGTTTGTAGGTCGTTATATATCTAACATGATGTTTTAGAGGTCGTTATAAGGTTTACATGGTGTTTTGTAACAAACACCATGTAAACTATATAACGACCTACAAAACACCATGTAAACTATATAACGACCTACAAAACACCATGTAAACTATATAACGACCTACAAAACACCATGTAAACTATATAACGACCAGGTCGTTATAAGGTTTACATGGTGTTTGAAGGTCGTTATAAGGTTTACATGGTGTTTGTAGGTTTAAGATAATTAATGGAAGATCTGTTTATGACGCATGTATTAGTTTTATTGGATTGCCACGTGGTATGTAAAGTGTGTTGCTGTTGTTATTATTTTACTTTTATTCATGCTTTCAATAACATATAGGCATGTAAATTCAGCTTTAACTTTTTATTGTAACTGTTACTTTATCGGTAAAAAGTAAATCTCACTTTTACCAGCTTATCTTCGCCGACGAGTGTACAGAGGCCGAAGGGATGACCTGGCACATGGAACACTTCCGTTGCTACGAGTGTGACCTGAGTCTCGGCGGTCAGAGGTACATCATGAACGAAGGACGCCCTTACTGCCTAACCTGCTTCGATCTCATGTTTTCTGAATATTGTGATACCTGTGGAGAACCGATTGGCGTGGACCAGGGTCAGATGACCCACGAGGAGCAGCACTGGCACGCGACGGAGAACTGTTTCCGATGTCACACGTGCTATGTACCTTTACTTGGTCTACCTTTCTTACCAAGACGCGGACTCATTTATTGCTCTATAGAGTGCAGCAAAGGTAAGAAACACGGGAGACAGGCGTATCCCACATTTATCCGAAGTGACGTACAGTACAACAGAGGTATGAATTTGAGTTAACAATACACCCAAGTTAAAAACACTGGACCATCGATCAGCTATATTTCTTAAGTCCACCAGTCAAAACATTGAAATCACCAATCAAAGTAATTATGGTATAAAAACCACCACTAGGTGGTTAATGTAATTATAAAAGAACCGGAATATTTGGTGTTAATTCCTAGAATTACCAGTAACACATAGACTGTCGTGTTTTTAAATGTTAATTCCTAGAATTACCAGTAACATATAAACTGTCGTGTTTTTAAATGTTAATTCCTAGAATTACCAGTAAC